CGTAACACTATTTTTAGTAGAAATAAAAGAGACAATTATTGATGAAAAATATCCTTTTTTTATCAACTTTGTATAGTATTATAAAGGCGCATAAGCATAAATCTCCTAACTTCATTAAATACTTTGTCACATATTATGCTTTTAGACGTATAAAATGGGCTTCTTGTTATGGCATGTTTTAATATGCCAACAGAGATGCTAATATATTATATGGATCATTTCATAATAAATTGAAGTAAGTTTTCATGGAATAAAAACCAAATAAATGGTTAGATAACTTGATTAGCTTACTTTAAACAATTGAGGGACATAACTATTGGTAACACAAAAAAGCTAATATTTTTCTTGGTACAATATTGCTCCTTAAAAAGTACGAAAAGTAGATATAAAAAAGAAATGATGATTTCAGAGATCTGTGCTGTTAAATGTTCATCAACTCAGCATAGTTATAAGTCAATCTAAAAATCTAACATATAATGTTTCCATTTTAACTAATATTTGTTCAAAAAGATCATGTTTAGAGGTATGTCTTAATCCTACTTGTAACTGATTGTGCGCATATTTGCATAAGTGTAATTGTAATGGCATGTTAGTCCTTTGCTAGCATGAATACAAGTTACGATCATTGCTTCAGAAAACCAAAGAAAAAGGTTTTGCAAAAGTATCTGTGGCTGGTAGTTTAAATGATAATCAAATAAATAAAAATCACAACCGTTAATTAATGAGGCTGAATGACTTTATAAAAGCATTAAATTTTATAAAAAAATTAAAAAATGTATTTCTTAGTAACTAATCCCATGATATTAAATATGCAACTTTTATCAATGAACAGGCAATTGGAAGACATGGTCAGACAAGCTAAAGATATCAAAAAAAGTCTAATATATACTTAGTTATTTTTATAAAAAAACTAAATTAGATACCTCAATAAAACTTTTTTATAAAAATAAAAAGTTTTTATTAAAATAATTTAAAAGCCATTGTTGCACACTCACCTCTTATGTTTTGAGCGAAATAAGAAGTTGGATAATCAATGGAGGACTAGAAAGTTTAAGAAAACATGAAAATAAAAAAAGAAAAAGAAGGAAATATGTAATAATATCCTGCGCAAAATCAAAAATAGAAAATAGTTTTGGAGCTGTCTCAGCATTATATTGATTTAACTCGTAATAAACAAATACAATATTCTCGTAATAAACAAATACAATATAACTCGTAATAAACAAATCTCGTAATAAACAAATACAATATAACTCGTAATAAACAAATACAATAAACAAATACAATATGTAAAAATTTAAAAACTAATGACTTCAATGACACTCTCACGAGCGGTCCTAATATATTTTACTTTCACATTTTTGCGACTAACTTTTTTTTATAAACATCTTTACGCATTTTTTATTATTTTTTTTATATTTAAAAAAAAAATATATATATTGCTAAATATTTTTTCAGACATGGCTCCCATCAAGTTACTTTTGTTTCCCTTTTTTAACTAGAAAACATCAAAGCATCTAAAACTTTTCTAAAATTACAAAACAACACTCCGGTTTTTCCAAAAGACTGGCTTCAAAATGATGTCATTTTGAAGCCAGACATTTGGAAAAACCGAAGTGTTGTTTTGTAATTTTAGAAAATTTTTTGCATTGCTTAAAAACGAACTATCTTTCAATAAAATATTTAGGTCTAATGCAAGTATTAGCTTTAAGCTATTCAAAGAGTTTGAAATTTTTATGAAAAGATATTGATAGGTAGTTTATAGAAAAGGTCCTTATTGCTTTTAGTTAAACTAGTTCTCATTAGATTTTAATACATTTTAAAGTAAACGCAAAAGAGGTTACTGTACTTTATTTGCTTTAATTTAACAATATGTCTAACAAATTATCCCACAATAAATGCAATTTGATTGTTTAAGACCTTTTTTAAAACTTTAAACTTAAGTCATGTCAACCCCAAATCATTATTTACAGAAAGATAGTCATACTTTAATGCTAATATTTGCTAATATGTGCTGCTTTAAGAATGGAACAATTCTGTATAAAATCATCAATATTTTTATCTTTTAGTTCGCATATATATTTTGACAGCATGGTGTCTTTTGAATACTTCTTATTTTTAAAAGATTGCTATTGATTGGCAAAACGTTTTTTTCCATTCTCCCTCTGTTATGCCAATATATTATTTATCATTACATTCTTAGAGGAAACAACACATTTATATACCACATTTTTTGATAAACAACTTCTACTCATTCGACAATTATTTTTTTGTTTACAATTACAATTTTCTGTAGTTTTTTTATTAAGGATTTCTTTATTATTTAACAAAGCATTATTGTGACTTTTTGTAATTCTTTCCATAATTTTTGTGCAACTGTAGCTAACTTTAATTGTATTTCGATTAAAAAATTTATGTAATTTATTATTGGACAAATTTTAAAAACGTTTTTCCTATAATAATGAAAACATTTTTGATATATAGGGGGTTGAACCAAATTACATTTCTAGTTTGATTCCGTTTTTTTGTTATCTTTTTTTCAGGGTCAAATTTTTTATTCAAAATTTTCAAAACCTCTTTTTTTAAGGGCGTCTTCGAATATTTGTTTAGAG